CTGAAAATGATGAAAGATTTTCAACATGCAAAATCCTTTTTATTTTTTTACATAAAAGTAAGTTGAGGGCTTACCTAATGTCTTCAGTGGTTATCTAATAACTCTATAGATAACTATAGTGGTTATCTGATCACTTAACAGAAACTGTCATTCAACAAATATGTTATTTTCTGAAGGAATAAAGATTTTCAGTCATTAAACAAAAACTAATAAAATATTCCATAATGTCTAAGATTATTTTTGTGTGTCATTTTTACTATAAAGTTTTAACTAATGAAATTTGCTTCATAATAAATTTTGATTCTGTAACAGAATTTCAATGGAATATTTTCCCCAGTTCTAATATAAATTTAATCTGATTTCATTTTAGACTTTGTTAGCTTCTATTTAAGTAATAGTAATAAGCCCTTACTTTTTAGTAGCATTTTTTTGTTGTTCTTACCAAAAACAGGTGATTTTGGTAAGGCTTAATAATATTTAAGTGGCAACCTTCTGTACTAATTTAAAATCTAGTCTTTTGAACTTCTGGTCAAGATGGCGGCGAAGGTAAATGTGGTGCTCACCTCCTCCCACAACCACATAAAAATTACAACTAAACTACAGAACAAACATCCTTGAGAACTGCCTGAAATCGAGCTGAATGGAAGTCCTACAGTTATGAAAGAAGCCGCCACATAGAGACTGGTAGGAGGGTTGGAGGCGCAGACAGGCTGGGCCCACACCCACGTGTGGTTGATAAAAATCAGGAGGAAAACCTTGGCTGTGAAGGCCCCCCCTGAGGAGTGAGGGGTCTCTGTCCCACACCAAGCCTCTTAGCTCAGGGGTCCATCACCAGGGAGATAAGTCCCCATAACATCTGGCTGTAAAAACCAACAGGAACTGAGGCTGAGGGAAGCTGAGGTTTCTGGAGCCCCAGGCAGCTCCTCTTAAAGGGCCAGCACATGGAATTACTCGAACTTGCTCCCTCTGAGCTCCAGCACAGAGGGCAGGCAGCTTGAAAGGTACCAGAAACACAAGAGAAAGAACTGAGTTGTTTGGCATTGGGATGAGAGCTGGAGAGGCAGCTTTCTCCCAGACAGATGTGCTGGTGGAGTCTGTTGGTCCTTTGGTAAACCCTTCCCCAACAGGGCAGGCAGAGGGCTGCCATATCTGAGACTCCAGCAACATGGTTCTGCTCTGGTGATAACCTGAGGCCCTGCCTCACCCAAAATCTGGGCCCACCCAAGCTACTTCCAGTGGCTTTACCAAATAGTATTGATCTGTTTTGGCTCCTACTTTAGATTTTCCTAAATTCTCTCAAACAAGCAGCATCTGGCCACAGCAAGCCCTATACCTCTTGATAAGTGGCCCCAGGCCTGGCACTAAAAGCAGCCAGCCTTGGTTCACAGCTGGACTTTGCCTGGGCGTCTCCAAGCCCAGCACAAGCAGCAGCCACAGGCAGTGGCTGATCTTGCCCCAGAGCCAGCACACCCAGTAGACAGCTTCAGACCATTGAAGCACCACCAGTCAACCACCTCCACAAGTGACACACTCAAGGAATAGTCTCAGTGGGTACCAGAGCTCTGCTGAAGTAAGCCTTGCTTTGTGTGGTGGGCCCCTACACAGTTGGTCATCCAAGGTAGTCAGAGATCAGCTGTTAGTGGACACAGCCAGTCCTTGCAGCTGATCGGCCTGAGTAAAACCCTCCCACTGATGTGCCAATAGCAATCAAGACTGAATTACAACATAAGGGTGTGCAGTCCACACAAGGGGTGTGCCTCAAGGGCCCAGCTGGGTGCACTGGACCCTACAGGACACCTACTACAACAGGCCACCCTAGGTAGCCTAGGAGATGTAGCAACTCTACCTAATATATAGAAACAAACACAGGGAGGCAGCCAAAATGAGGAGACAAAGAAACATGTCCCAAATGAAAGAACAGAACAGAAAACAAAACTCCAGGAAAAGAACTAAATGAAACAGAGATAAGCAATCAAACATATGCAGAGTTCAAAACACGTATAAGGATGCTCAATGAACTTAGTAAGAATTTCAAGAAACTTCATGAGGATCTCAAGAGCATAATAAAGGACCAGTCAGAAATGAAGGATGCGCTAACTGAAATAAAGAATAATTTACAGAGAATCAACAGTAGAGTAGCTGAAGCCAAGAAGCAAACCATTGATTTGAAATATAAGGGAGCAAAAACACCCAATCAGAACAGCAAAAAGAAAAAAGAATCCAAAGAAATGAGGATTGTATAAGCAGCCTGCGGGACAACTTCAAGCATACCAACAATCACATCATGGGGGTGCCAGAAGGAGAAGAGACAGAGCAAAAAATTGAAAACCAATTTGAAACAATAATGACATAAAACTTCCCTGACTTGGTAATGGAAACAGACATACGAATTCAGGAAGCACAGAGTCCCAAACAAGATGAATTCTCAGAGGTCCACACCAAGACACATCATCATCAAAATGCCAAAGGTTAAAGACAAAGAGAATCTTAAAAGCAGCAAGAGAAAAAGCAGTTCATTACCTACAAAGGAGGAACAATAAGACTGTCAGTCGATTTTTCAAAAGACACATTGCAGGCCAGATAGGAGTGGCAAGAGATATTCAAAGTGATGAAAAGGAAGGACCTACAACCAAGATTACTCTATCCTGCAAAGCTATCGTTTAGAATCAATGGACATATCAAGAGTTTCCCAGAGAAGAAAAAGCTAAAGGAGTTCATCACCACCAAAGCAGTATTATATAAAATATTGATGGCTCTTCTTGAAGAAGAAGAAAAGACAACAGTGTGGGGAAGGCAGGAGTGGGGAGGAGTGGATCGGGGTGGGGGATGGGGGGTGGAATAGTAGGGACATTTGTAATACATTCAATAATAAAGATAAGTTTAAAAAGGAAAAAAAATCTAGTCTTTTGAACATTTTGACTTTTTAAATGCACGTCATCTTCACCAAGTACACTGGAAGGTCTGTTATTGAGAGAATTGTTTGAAAGACAATAAGAACTCACAATGATCAGTCATTTATTTGCTAATAAATACTGCAAATACTGGGGGGGGGGGGGGAGACTAAAAAGTAAAATATGCCTGAGGAAAAAGTACCTGAACTTGAATGCAAATGATATAACTCACTCAATATACAATCATTAAATAAAGAGATTTATAGTTTATCTAGCTATCCATAGTTATAAGGGGGCATTTTCATATATCCTCTCAGGAAATAAAAAATAATTATTTGGTGGCATATAACAGCTTAGAAAATGGTTAATAAAATATTTCTATGAAACTACAGAAATGTTATTTTGACCAAAAAATGCACATACAAACATAACTGAAAACACACTGAGGGATTACACTCAGCTACAAGTAACAGGAAACACCCACAGTCTTCCTGCCAGGTGCAAGGTGCTTATTCTCACATGGAAAGACCGGGTCAAGGCAGCCACTGCACATGCAGCAGAGAAACTAACTCCCAGATGGCAGCATTGTAGATGTCATGGTCAATCAAGGACACATACTAGTACTGTTAATAGCACAAAGTGTTTCCTGTACAATTTAGACCTTATGCAGATGTAATCTAAAGAAGGGGAATCAGTCATGAGCATGAAAGTCTGAATCAGTTTCCTGGTGGGCACAAGGTGGCTTACAGATAAATTCAAACTCTGATGGATCTATGACGTGCAATTTGTGAAGACATCAGTAGACATCTACAACTCTAAGAAAGTGTAAATCAAAATAATTGGTGGTGGTTATGAGGATAGTCTTGATTGGAAAGGCAAAGAATCTGGAAATTGGGATGCAAGATTCCGTACTCAAAGGTCCTGTACATCTGTCTCTTTCCCTGAGTGGTGGTTTCAAAATCTGACTAATGTGTTTTTCATTTGTCCTTTCCAAATCTCATAGAAGTGAGACTACTTGTGAATTCTAAAATGGAACCATAAAGGTGATGGATTCTAAAAAATCTAGGTCCCAACATTACCTCCAGTGGGGGGATACTTCCAACTCTTGATTTTTTTCTCCTATTCATTTGTTCATTAGTTCATCCGTCCGTCCGTTCGTTCATTCATTCATTCATTTCATTATTTTGTCAGTCTTCACCCAAGGCTATTTTTCCATTGATTTTTAGAGAGAGTGGAAGGGAGGGGGGGAGGGAGACAGAGAGATAGAGATAGAAATATCGATGTGAGAGAGACACATAGATTGTTTGGCTCCCACACATCCTTGACTGAGGCCAGGGATCAAACCTGCAACCCAGGTATGTGCCTTTGACCATGACCCTTTGGTCCACTGGACGATACTCTAACCACTAAACCAAACAGGCCAGGGCTCAATATTTATTTTTTAAAGTAATTACAAATCTGTATTGCAATTATGCACTTTACAAAACAAGCTTGATAAACACCGAGTATACACCAACTTTAAGACTGATTATTTCACATTGAAAATTTTCTGAAACATTATACCTGGATTAATTTCCATCAAGCTTTCTCATGTCACATAGTTTAACTCTTTTCCCTGAGATTTTTCACATGCAAGGATGTGTGCATATTGAAGCTCTTCTCACTGTTTATGGTCAAAAGGTTTTATCCAGTGATGCCTTTCATGCCTTTAGAAGCAACTGGGATGATTGAAGGTGTTCCCACATTCACATATAGTATATCTAAAAATTTCTCACATCTCCTTTTATACTAAATTAGGATTATTTCTCAAAATGATACCCTCTCCCTATAGGTCACCTCATACAATCAAATTAATACTTGGATGATTGCCTTTACATATCCATACCCCTTTTTGTTCTTCCCACTGGGGAAAACCAATAGATACCCCTCTGCTCATAGAAAGAACTCAGGATGGGACAGAACAGTGCATACTCTCATGTTCAGTAGTTTGTGTGTAAAATGGAAGCTTTCCCACATTTTTTACATTTACAGAGTTTCTCTCCAGTGTGATTTCTTTCATGTCTTTGAAAACCTTGTAGAGAAAGGAAACCTTTGTCTTGTTGCTTACATTCATGGGGTTTCTGTCCCGTGAGTCCTTTCATGTCTTCGAAGATAATTGAGACAGATTAACACTTTTCCACATGTTTTACATTCATAAGGTTTCTCTCCTGTGTGATTTCTTTCGTGTGTCTTTAAAGAAATGCGATGGCGGTAAGCTTTACCACATTGCTTACATTCATAGGGTTTCCCTCCTGTGTGAGTCCTTTCATGTTTTCGAAGATAATTAAGGCAACTGAACTCTTTCCCACATGTTTTACATTCATAAGGTTTCTCTCCTGTGTGACTTCTTTCATGTGTCTTTAAAGAAATGCGATGGCGGTAAGCTTTACCACACTGCCTGCATTCATAGGGTTTCCCTCCTGTGTGAGTCCTTTCATGGCTTCGAAGAGAATTAAGACAATTGAACTCTTTCCCACATGTTTTACATTCATAGGGTTTCTCTCCTGTGTGAGACCTTTGGTGTATTTGTAAGGAGCTGCAATATCTAAAGGTTGTCCCACATTCCTTACATTCATAGGGTTTCTCTCCTGTGTGAGTCCTCTGGTGTGTTTTTAACGCTGTGAGACCACTGTAAGCTTTACCACATTCCTTACATTCATAGAGTTTCTCTCCTGTGTGACTCATTTTGTGTGCTTTTAAGGAACTGTGGTATTTGAAGCCTTTGCCACATTGTTTACAATCATAGAATTTTCTTCCTGTGTGCATCCTTTCATGTTTTTGAAGATAACTGAGACAAGCAAATGCTTTTCCACATGATTTACATTCATAGGGCTTCTCTCTAGAATGACGTATTTCATGTGTTTTTAAGGAACTGCAATATCTGTAGGCTTTGCCACATTGCTTACATTCATAGTGTTTCTCTCCAGTGTGACGCTTTTCAGGTATTTGATATGAACTGGGAGAGATGGATGTTTTCTCATTTTTTTTACATTTATCAAGTCCACCTCCACTGTGAGTGGTCACGTGTGCTGGAAGGACCGAGAGACCACTAACTGCTAGCCCACATTCCTTATGTTTAAAAGGATTTTCCCTGGTATGAGTTTTTTCATCTACTTGAATATAACTGGAATTGAAGGCTTCACCACATATATTATAGTCATAAGATTTCTCTCCACTGTGATTTCTTTCAAGTTTTTCAGTACTCTGGAGATAATGTTTAAATGGCTTTTCTCCATATTTCTCATAGGCATATGGCTTATGTTCAGTGTGACATCCAGTGTTCCCATTATGAGTTGGATGCTGCATGAAGACTTTCCCACACACACTGTATTCACCTGGTTGCACTCCAGGAGATTTCTCCTTCAGACTGAGATCTGGAGTAAGGGGGAAGCTGTCTTCGTGCTGACTACTCTCTTTGCCGTCACAGATCCTCTCTACCGTAGGACTTCTGCAAAAAAGATGTATACAGCACATAATTCAGGCTTTATTTATGATTTTATATTTATTAAAATATTTGAACTACATTTCTATAATTTATAGAATGGCCTGTCTGAATGGCTTGAAGTTGAATATATGGGATGCTGTGCAACAGGACTTCAGCCTTGCTGTTGTCAAACTGTGACGTTCATATACAGAGTCTATTAACATTGTTTTTCATTGGAACTAGTTTTTAAGCACTGAAGGCCTTTGTCATATGTAAGTAAGTAAACTGGTGGAAATTTTCTGAGAAGTCATGGATTTGAAGCAGGGTTTTGTTTATTTTCATTTTGTAGCATAATAGGTTTCTCATGTAAAACGGTGCTTTCTTTCTTTTTTATTTATCCTCACCTGAGGACTTTTTTTTTTTTTGCATTTATCTTCAGATAGAGTAAGAGGGAGAGAGGGAAGAAGAGAGAGAGAAAAACTTCGATGTGAAAGAGACACACTGACTGGCCTCTACCCACACGACCCCAACCGGGGCCGGGGACAAACTGCAACCAAGGTACATGCCCTTAGCGGGAACTGAACCCGGGCCTCTTTGGTCTGCGGGGCCAACACTCTAACCGCTGACCCAAACAGGCTAGGGCTAAAATGGTGCTTTCTGTTGTGAGTGTGACTCACCTTCGTTTTCTCCCCTGGTTTTTGGGCAGATCTTCAATGTCATGATCTTTCCATTTCTTTCCTAAAATACAGACCCAGAAAATTTATTCCAAAGTAGAAATTATAGAAAAATTATTAGATTCTAGTTCTATGATGAGCAGAGATCATGCCTAGTTTACTTACCAACATCCTCCCTTCCAACATTACACACATAGAACAACTTTCATAGGCAAGAAACACCTGTCCTCTAATTAACAAGATAAAATAAGCTGCCATCCTTACCAATGGAGGCCAGGTTCCTGAAGGTTTCCCACATCACATCTCTGTAGAGTTTCTTCTGTGAAGGATCCAGTAAGGCCCACTCCTCCAGGGTGAAGTTCACAACCACATCCTCAAAGGCCACTGAGTCCTAAAACACCCCAATATGTGTACAGCACAATGTGTGAGACTGAAGCACTGGACACCCAGACTCCATTTACAGGGGGATTTCATGTAATTCTGTTGCCTCCATATATTTATTCTGTGACTTCATCATCAAACACTTATTCTCTGTTCACATTTAGTCCCTTATAAATTTAATCTCATTATAAGCACATACAAATTAATACATTTTTACAGTAATCACATTATATCTTATTTTTCTCTGTTCAGGGCATCATGAAAAATGACAAATGCTATACAAATAAATATTATCACTTTAAGACTTTCATCCCAAGGGCTTCCAGTCAAGATAGTGAAGTAGGTAAATGCTGTACTTGCATCCTCCCACAACCAAATCAAAATTACGACTATAATATAGAACCATAATATAGAACTATAATTGAGAACCATCGAAATCTAGCTGAACCTAAGTCCTATAACTAAGGATATAAAAAAGAAGCCACATCAAGACTGGTAAGGGGTGGAAATGTGCAAAGATCTGCTCCCACACCCACATGTGGTTGTAAAAAATCAGGAGGGCTATCTCAGCTGCAGAAGTCCTCCCTGAGAAGCCAGAGCTCCCAGTACTGGGAAAAGAAGTCCCCATAACATCTTACTGTGAAAGCCAGTGGGGATTGTGGCTGAATGAGACTGAGGGCTTCTAGAGTCCCAAGCATTCTTCTTAAAGGGCCCATGCACAGACTTACTCAAACTCACTCACTTTGAGCTCCAGAGCTGGTGAAACAGCTCAAAAGGCACCAGGGATGTTCAGGGAGGAACTGAATTGTCAGGGTGAGAGCTGAAGGGGCAGCTTTCTCTCAGACAGAAGTGCTGGCAGAGGCCATTGCTCCTTTGCTGGGTCTTGTCCCCATAGAACCTGCAGGCAGCACACCTGAGTCTCCATCAACCAAGCTAAACTGTTGGCCTGCCCTGGTGATTCTCTGAAACCTTACGCCATCCAACTTTTGAGCTCACCTATGCTGTTTCCAGTGTCTTTTCCATGCAGATGCCTGTCTTGGCTCATGCTGTAAACTTTCTTAAAATCTCTCAAAGGTTCACAGCACCCCAAAAAGCAGTATCTGGCCTCAATGTGCCCTATATCCCTTGTAAGTGGTCCCAGGCCTGGCACTAGTGGTGGCACACCACAGATTGCAGCTTGGCCCCTCCTAGGTACTTCCAAGCCCAGCACAAGTAACAGCCATCTGCAGATCACTTTGTAACTCATGCTGGGTGGCCCTAGGCAGGGCACAGGCAGCAGCTGATTTTGGCCTGCACTTCCAATGAGGCCACAGAGACATCACATTCGGAGGCCAGCTTTAGACCATGCCAAAACACCACCCAACCACCTCCATGAGCAACACACTCAAGGGCAGTTTAAGTAGAAACCAGAGCCCTACTGAAGTAAGTCCTGCTCCATGGGGTCAGCCCCTTCACAGCAGCTCCTTCACTGTGGTTGAGGCCAGATCTCACAGCCAGTTGGCCTGGGGGTACATCCCTCCCAATGACATCCCAACCACAACACCATGGTGCACACAGCCCAAATAAAGGCATATTGGAGTGCCCAGCTTGGGTAACTGGGCAGACTGTCACTGGGATCTATAGGATACCTACTATATAAGACTAGTCCACCAAGATTGAGAGATATAAAAACAAACACAGGGAGACATCCAAAATGAGAATACAAAGACACAATAAAAGAACAGAAGAAAATTCCAGAAAAAGAACTCAACAAAATGGAGATAAGCGATGTGTCAGATGCAGAATTCAAAACACTGGTTATAAAACTGCTCAATGAACATAAGAGCAGAATAGATAAACTTAGTGAGAATTTCAACAAAGAGAGAAAAACATAAAAATAGAGATAGAACCTATTTAAAAAAAGCAGTCAGAAATGCAGAATACAATAATTGAGATGAAGAATACATTATAAGGAATCAACAGTAGAGTAGATAAAGCTTCTTATTGCAGAGAAGCTAGAGGATAGATTTGAATCTGTTAATGAATATATTTTATTTGAAATATGTTTCTTGAAAATGTGAGTGTGTTTGCCAATGAAAGAACCTCTTTCTAAAAATTATAAAATGTATTCATAATTTAAATATCAAAATATTTTGAAATATTCAAAATATCAATCTAATGAATGCTACTTGCTTACTTTTAGTTGTCACTAAAAAGATTAAGTTTTCTGAGGGTTAAGAATTATAATTAGAACTATGTTATGGAAAACAGAGGAAGAAAGAGGAACAAACAGGAAAGGGAGAATGAAATGTACCAAAAGCCAGAGGTAGGAAGAAAGAGTAGAATAAAGGATTTAAACATAGAGGAAGAGAAGACATATAACAAAGAGATAGAGTAAGATGAGTTTATGAAACAAGTAATATGGAAATAGCCAGAGTTTATTAAAAATTCTATTGAGGGAGAGAGAAAAAATGGCAGTAGAGTGAATGGAAGCTACACAGACCATCTCCCAGGACCAAACTGGAATTACAACTAAAATGAAGAAAAGTTATCTGGAGCAGTCAACTGAAAACCAGCTGGAGAGAACATAAAGGGGAGCCCATATCAAGTCTAATAGGAGGTACAGCTGCACAGGACGGCTGGCTGGGCTCTCACAGGCAGCAACTGAGGGTTACCTTAGCTGTGAGAATTTCCCCCTGAGATATCTGGGGTTTAAATCCCAAGCTGGCTCCCCAGCACAGAGTGGTGGAACAGGGAAAGGTGCCAACATAACACCTTGCTGTGAAAAACACCAGAGCAGAGACCCTGTCAGGCAGGGAGAGGTGCTGGGAACATGGGCATCTGCCTGAAGGGCCAGCACACTAAATTTCAGCTACAGCCACTCACCTTAGGCTCCGGCAGAGAGAGGGCTGACTAGACTGGAACTGTGTGAGGAGAGTTGGGGATTCATGGTTCTGGGGAAAGAGCTGGGAAGGAGGAAATCAGAAGTCCTATGCTGAGTCATCCCCCCATGGCACAGAAACCATTTCTCCTGGGCAGACTCTTCCCATCAAAGCAACTTTAGCCTGGGGGGAAGCATATCCCACCCATTGGAATTTCACTCTGCCCACTGGTGGAAGTTTGCACCGAACACAGAGATGCAACCTGAATCTCATTAACTGTCAGACACTACCAACCAGCCTACAAACAGCAGAGACTAGTCTTGGGTTGGGCCCATAGTTGTTGGGTTTCATGGCTCTGGGGTCTGAGCTGTGAAGGCAGCTGCCTGAGCCCTTGTACTGAACCATTAACTCACACTGCAGAAACCATTCTTCTCAGGCAGAGTTCTCCCATCAAAGCAGCTATAGCCTGGACCGAGGGGAGAGCAACTGTCCCACCTATTGGAATTTCACCCCATCTGCTGGGAGGAGTTAGAACCTAGCACAGAGCTGCAACCTGAGGTTCATTAACTGTCAGAAACTGCCAGCCAGCCTGTAGGCAGAGATGAGTCTCTAGGTGCTTTGAGCCTTGGGCCTGGCTCCTGGTTGTTGGCATTCATGGCTCTGGGGATGGAACTCTGAAGTGGCTGCCCAGGTCTCCATGATGTCATTAACCCATGCTTTAGAAACCATCTTTCTCAGGCAGAGTTTTCCTCTCCAAGCAGCTTTAGCCCTGGGGGAAGCAATAGTCCCACACACTGAGAATCCTCTCACCATGCCTGCTGTGGGGGAGCTTACTTCTAGTTGAAGACTACAATCCAAGGCTCATTAAGTAACTGAGACTAACAATCAGCCTTCAGGCAGAGGTGGATCTCAGGGATATTTGAATCTTTGCCTGGCCTGGGGCTCTACCTGGGAGAATAAGACCAG